TGGAGACAAGTAGGTAGCAGACACTCCACCAGAAAAGTTACGCAGTGCATCTTTAAGGGCTCCATATTACACTATTTCCTGATCTGTGTTATAATGTTTGAAGTTCTTTTGTTTCACATGTTTAACACACAAACCCTGCAGATTTAGGCTTAGTTCTTCTCTCAAACTGAAAACGCTCTGCTCCACATTATGATGTCATGTGGTAATACAGGAAGTGCTCCACTGTGTTTTCAAACTCCATACACCTTCACTAGAATCATTTGGACCATTTCAGCTCTGGAATTGCAAATCTTTACTCAACTAAAAGGAGCTGTTAACTTGAAAACTACCACTAAGGCTACGTTCAGACTGCAGCCTGAAGTGACCCAAATACGTTTTTTTTGGCCCCTATGTGACCTGTATCTGATCTTTTAATGACAGTCTGAACCACAGATCCGCAACAAGCCACAAACGTCACTATTCTGTGCTGAAGTAGGTGAAAATTGTTAATGAACTCCGCGTCACTGAAGCGAAGCACCACCACCGTGTCACCACTCTTGGCTCCGTCTCCACATCCACACGTTCCTTTCAACAGACTGTCCCACAAAACACCACGGCCAAAAACCTCGTCCTTCTCCTTCTCAATCTCCTCCATAAAACAAGTAAGTTGTTCATGTTCTGGCTCCGGTACGAGAGGAACTTTAAAATCTCCAGGTGCTCAATGCTGCGTCCATGTTTGGACAACTTCCGTAAACACAGAGCACGCTCGCTGAGGTTGACGTCATCGTGTCTCCAGTGCACATGTGGGACACTTTTGGGCCGTTTAATGTTCACACAGGAGAACACATACAAGTCACATTTAATTGGAAATGTGAACGACTTCGCAAAAACATCGGATTTCACTAAAAAATCTGAATTGAGCGTTAAGCCCTGCAGTCTGAACGTAGACTAAATGACATCACCAGGTGGAACAGCGCATTTTGAGCTTTGGAAATGTAGACAATCTAATAATAAAGGATTACTCAAACATGTGTGAATGGAACAAAACACAATTCCAGGTCTGTTTTTGAGGAGGCAAGAATATTATAACATGACTTAAAGCTCAGAAGAGTCAATTCTGTGTAAATAGAACCTTTAAATACTACAAGTTGATCTCACCCCGTGGAAAACAAGTGAACAAAACAGCCAGAAAAGTATATCAAATATCAACATTACAGTAAACCAAGGTCATTTTCTCATTTTCACAGAGTTAGACATGACTTCACCACAGCACTGACTCATTCTTGTGTGTGTGTTTCTATTGTCACCTCCTCATCTCTTCTTACAGTTACGCACATTTTAGTTTCTCTACAATTCTGCACAACACCGACTCGCACACGCATTTGGAGGGAAAAACACCTTGTTATTTTAGCCCTGGCTTATTTGTGATTTTTAAATTGGGTCTGTGAGCCTGGTGTTTCTCTTCAACACCTAAAATTAACGAGCAGAGGAAGTGTGGAGCTGAAATCTAGAATTATATCAAGTCACTTTTAGAACAGCAAACTTTTATTGTGTTATTAATATAGCAACTAATATTTGATTTGTTCTTTCTCTTGCTGATAATACTACTTAAACTATCACACTGTCACGACGACTTGCTTTCACATATTGGCTACTTTCTTAATATTTGCTGTTATTTATACTATTACCACTGTTGGGCAAGTTACTTTAAAACTGTAATGTGTTATTTATGACTTGTTACTGTCATTTCAAAGTAATTCGTTACATTTCATTATTACTGCGTTTAAAATGTAAGACATTGCATTACTATTGCAGCACTTTTAAGTTACTCTTACTAAAATAAGTGTGAAGATGCTGAACTTTTGCTCCGTATATGGACTGAACCAGGACTAAACCTGGACTAAACCAGAGCTAAACCAGGACTGAACCAGAACTAAACTGGAACTAAACCAGAACTGAACCAGAGCTGAACCAGGACTAAACTAGGTCTAAACTAAGACTAAACCAGGACCAAACCAGGACTAATCTTGGACTAGAACTTGGAATCTCGTACCGCCCCTGAGAGAACCCCCGAGCGCGATCAGGTGTCAGCTGCGTTTAGCTCCGTGGAGCGTGGAGTTCTGCATCGGTCCTTTCACTCACAATCACGGTCTACGCGGGCGCGTCTCCGGCGTTTCACTTCTGCTGATATCGCGGTGATTTTAGAAAATTTGTATGAAGAAAAACAAAACAAAACCACCACTTCAGTCCAGGTTAAAAAAGCACAGTAACGCGTTACTGACATTTGTACCGAGTAAAATATTTAATTTTTTTCCCCCTGTAATACCTTACATTACTGTGTTACAGCAAAAAGCAACGCATTACAATAATTTGTTACTTTTATAATATTTGTTACTCCCAACACTGACTATTACTGTATCGTGCACTGGATTATAAGGCGCAATGTCAATAATGTTGAATTCTCTTGTCTATGTGTCAAAAAATGTGTCAACTGTTTGATTATGTAAAACAACTGGGGTAGGATATTATACTTTTTTTTGTTTGTTTTGTTTTTAACTTCTTACTACTCCGTTTGAGCACTGGGTCCCCAATATATACATGTACATATCCTTGTGTTGTTTTTTATGGGTGTGATTTTGTTTTTACCTCGCTCAAACAAATAAATAAAATATAAATAAATAAATATTGTCATACATAAGTCGCAATAAGCAAAACAAACAGATGACGCTTGAGACTGATCCTGAACCCAGGCGTCCACGATCTATTGGCAGATCGTGGTGTAATTCGCCCGGCGTTGCCTCCCTGTCTTGGTGAATGTGGATTATGAATGTCAATCTGGGTGGATCATTGATGTTTTGTTTTTTTTTTTCTACAAGGCAGCTTTGCACACATTTGTTTACATTTTACAGAAACAAAACTTAAAACCACATGGTGCAATTGCATAAACTTTAAGCTCTTGTGCGCTGATGCAGACAGTTTCTGTCGGACTCAAGGACACGACTCAATGGAATATGAGTGTTCTTTCTGTGACAGAGGATGTGCTGCTGATGGTGAGTCTGTTCTGTGTTTCTATCCTGTTGGAGATGGTTCATGTGAAACTTTTCAGAGATTATAAATCTGCAGGTCATACACACAGACCGTATATATGAATGGACATATGTTCTCTGCCGCATTTCACTGATGTCATAAATGTTAACATAGAACTAAACTTCGCCCTTTACTCCACAAGACTCGTGACTACTGTAGCCGTAATGCTCCGACAATCCATCAAACAGAGCGGCTTTGTAGCTACCAAAGTCGTGCCCCACATAAAATCAGTTCGAGGTCAGTAAGAACAACCAGGATTAATACATAAAGTGCACAGGATTAAAAGAAAATTGAAGGATTTTAAGTGCTCCTTATAGTCTGAAAAATATGGTAATCCCCCCACAAGTACATGTTCATAACCAGTATTAACGATAGAATTTGCAATGTTCAGAATAGGCTATTGATACTTTGCAGCTGATCTCATCAACATACCCTGGGGATGTGAAGCTAACTGAAAGCACTAATCTGTCTGATGTTCTGTTACTCAACCCATGAGCCTTAGTCACTGTCACCTTTTTGTGGAAAATCCAACTCCTAAACAGGACCATGAATGATCGTATCAACCACAGGCTGCTGAAAATGTGCCCTTTAAAACTATTTCGTGTTTTTTCTTCAACCACAGAAGTACACCCACACCCTCAATACAGAGAACGGTATTGGAAAGGGGCAATCAAAGGCAAAAAATGGCAAAAAACTAAATATCAAACTTAACTTCTATTAACTTTTACACCTATTAACTTTTCTGGTGGAAGGTCCGATGTTATTGCTTTGTCTGGAATGTTTCACAGTATGGCATTAAACCAGCGATGCCAGGGTGATACTGGACAAGGGGCCAGATTTTTTTCAACTGAGCCCTCAAGGGTCTGAAAAACACTTTTGGACTGAAAAGGCCAAACGCTGACTCAACACATGGATAGGCTGTTTGAAATTGCATTGGCACCACAATAACCTCACAGTGAAGCTTACAATGACACAGCCTAAAGCAGGAGACAGTTGCCATCTAAAAACTTAACATTTTTCTATCCATGCAAGAAGACTACATTTATTAACTAGACATGGAATAATAATAGACTAGAACTGTAGATGCCAACAAAACACATTTCCTCTAAAGAACACAAGTGGAAACTGTTAATTACTTTAATCAGATTTATTGAAGTCTTGCATGTCAATGTATAATTAAGCCAATTAATAGAAGGCCAGGCCAAGTAGGCTAAAAGTAGTCACAGAAAGAATAAAGAGGAACAAGTAAGAAACAACAGGCCATGTGATTGACAAATATGATCTATCTTAAAACATTAAATTGTCTCAACAACAGATGAGACACATGAAGTTTGTCAGTCATCACCAGTCAACTGTGGCACAAACCTACACAGGCAACAGTCAACCCCAGCCTCCACCCACATCACACAGGATTATGATCAACGGGACACCAGCCTACTTCAGCTACATCTTACTTGTCGAGGCCAAACACCTTTTAACTTTCACCAGCTTGTCCACATCGGGGGACAGTTTCTGGGCTATTTTCTATTTTCATAACATCATTCAGATGTCCATATGTCAGACGATTACACACTTTCAGTTTATTAATATTCATCATGGAAAAGGCTCACATAAATATGTTGTCTCAAACATACAAAGTATTTGACCTGTGGAAGGCTGTGAGCTTTGGGTACTCTGGTGGCAAAGATTGATAGAATGATTTGATTGCAACAGATGCATAGTTTTCCTTCAACAGTACAGAACACTGCACTTCTCTCTGTTCCATTTGGATCATCTCTGGGACCTCGAAAGCGTCAATCGTGAATGGAGAGTGAAAAATTGCAAAGTCCTTTACCAGTTCAGTAAAAACCGTGAATCGAGTGGCAAACTCATGCCCAAGTCCAGAAAGCAAGTTTGCATACTTGTCCATACTCCGATGATTGACAAGTTGAGGTTTAAGACAGGGGAGGTGAGCGGCGTTGCTCTGGCAGGAGCTGCGTCTCCCACAACACCAGTTTACTTTGAAAAGCACGAGCACTATCATAATACTCTGTGATGAGTTTGTTGCAGCCCTGCAAAGTAACATTCAAAACATTTAGATGTTCGGTTATGTCCACTAAAAAGGCAAGATCCCTGGTCCATTCTGAGTCGTCCACTTCCAGCACAGGCTTCCCTTTACCCTGCATGAACTCGGCTATCTCTGGGTGTAATTTGTAGAAATGTTTCAGCACTGCGCCTCAGCTCAACCAACGCACGTCAGTGTGATAGGGAAGACCATGATGAATGTCACGTTCCAATAAAAAAAACATCAAATTCCCTCTGGTTCAAATAAAATTCACAGTGTCAATAACAGCAGACATGACATGGTTCATTTTCAGACTCTTGCAGCACAACACCTCTTGGTGCAGAATACAGTAAAAGTTCCAAAATACTTGCTCTGGATTAGCTGCATTTACCTTTTCTCTCAACTTCACAACCGCTCCTGCCTTTCTTCTGATCACAGAAGGTGCACCGTCAGTATCCACACTGACAGTGAAACTCCACTTCACCTCCAGTTTGTCCAGGGCCCTGGAGCTCTGGTGGTGTCTGTCAAATAAACATCACAAACTGGGCTACATCAGTCACGTCAGTGCTGTCGTCAAGAGCAACAGAGAATGTGATGAAGACTTAACCTTGTCTTTTTTGGTTGACTCTTCTAATCACCAGAAAGTTCTTTAGTTCTCTCATGGCTTGCTGTTTCTGGAGCGGTGATGCTAGTTCATTTAGTTTTTAGTCTGAAGTTGCTCTTTGTACTACAAGTATTTCTCAGTGTGGGTCTCATAGTGTTGTTTGATATTGTACTCTTCTGCTACAGCAACTTGTTGAGAACAAATAAGACACTTTTTGCCCCTACATCCCAAAAGAAATGCTTTTCTTTTCATCTCTGCTGAAAGATGTGACCTTCAGGTTCGACTTTCCTCTTTTTTGACAACATCTTGATATTGACCAGTCTACGCCGGCACCATAGACTCTGTCATGGTCGGCACTGCTGAGACGAGCAACAGACCAACTGACAAATAAAACCGAAAATTCTATTTTTAAAAAATGAAACATTAGGTGGGCAGCAGTAACTGACGGATACCACCGAAAATTTTATGAAAAAATAAAACATTAGATAAAATTAATTAATAAAGTTGTCCTCTTATCATCCACGGGCCGGATGCGATGTACTGTCAGGCCATAACCATGACATCACTGCATTAAACCTTTTGTTCGTCCTGGAGACCAAACCAGACCAAGTTACAGGTCAGATCTGTGGAGATGTGACCCTGTCTGCCTGTTTTTCTAGGTATTTTGGAGTTATAAAACCACCTGTAATTGAATACATGTCAAATAAACCTGTTTAATGTCATAGTTGCCACATTTACACGAGATCTTTAATTCCGAATAAAAATAATTTAATTCTGAATACAATTAATTCCACTTTAAAAAGACTTAATTCCTAATGAAAATGATTATTCAGAATTAAACTTAATTTCGAAGTAAGTGGGTGGTGTATTCTGATTTTAAATCAAAATTAATTTAATAATTCCCACCCCCAGGCAATGAACGGAATTAAATAAAGGCGATTTAACGTCTTTTCCATGTAAACCTCAATTCTGAATTATTATTTCCATGTAAATTCAAAGGAGAATATTTTAATTCAGAACAGAGACATTTGAAGCAGAGCAGTGACATATCCATAGAAACAAGTAGGTGATGAAATTGCGTCTAGTTAAACTGCTAGTTACTTGTAAGTCTGGCCAATCCGTCTGAGTTTACGCAGACAAAAGCAGAGGCCTAATAGCTAATAATGATCGTATTGGTGGAAGCATGAAAGCCCATACATTTTTAACGAGGCCGAGTCGATGATGGTCTCCTCATCAGAACATAATGACGCTCGGCGATGTGAAAGCAATCAGAGCTGATCACATGTGTCAGGGTTATGCGTGAGGATGTGACGGGTTACTGTTTTTAAATGACAAAAACAATCGAATCAACATAAAGACAATTGCCCCAAGATCACGTGAAGGAGAAATGGAGCTCGTAAAAGTGCTGGAGAAATTGGCCATCTGTGCGGGAAAAACATGTTATTTTTGACTGTTTCTTTTCTTGTGTGATGTTCAAGAACCCTGGGAAACATCAAATAATATGTAAATGAAAATCCAATAATGATGTATGATTGGGTGAAGTTACAGGTCAGATCTGTGGAGACAATACTGATAGAAAGAGACATACACCTCAAACAAAAAATCTAACAAATATTGTGTCTGCATGCTGGGCCCAAAAATAAAAACAGTGCAAAAAACAGAAAGAGATCCACGCTGCAGTTCTTCAAACATCTGAAGAAGGGCTCGGCTCGAAACGTCACATTGTGGTGTCATTGAAATAACAAATTTGGGAGCTTCAAAGAACTGCAGTGTAGATCTCTTTATTTTTTTATTTTTATTTTTTGCAAATCTGTGGAGATGCAATCACGCTCACAGTCAGAATGCCTTTTTTTTGTTTTTTTGTTTAATAAAACCACCTGCAATTGAATAAATGTAAAGTAGAGCTGTTTAATGTCAAACTGTGGAATATTCCAGGCAGAGCAATGACAAATCCATAGAAACAAGCAGGTGTCGGACCCCCAACCCCAAATGTTGTGCACATTTAACCACACACTGCTGTTCTAATTTACAAATGCTCACATACTCTGGGTCAGTGTTTCCAATTTCCAATGTCTCAAATTTTTAAATGTACAAAAACAGAGTTTGTTTTCATGTAGTTGAATGTTATGACTCATGATTTAGTTTTGTAAAACAGCAACACAACTATTCAATGCAGATACGATATACAAAGATCTGTCCAATCCTACTGCAGTGGTCCCATTCAAACACAGGACTGACTGTGCAGCCTTTTAAAGTGGCTGCACACTTAAGAAATGGTATCATTAAAAGTATCCATAAGACTAATTTCATATTTAAATGAAAACCATTATTTATTGGCAGTTTTATTTATTTATTTAGAAAATGGATTATCTGGAGTTGGTTGTATAAATAATTTGATATATTTTTCTCTGTGTACAAATGAGGGTTGTCAAAAATAACACAAATCAGAAACTAATCAATACAAAACTAGTATCAAATATAATAGATAGATAGATAGATAGACAGATAGATACATTAACAGGATACAGGAGGAGGAGATTGACATGTGGATCGGTGCAGCATTGGCAGTGATGCCAAAGCTCTCGATTTACCTTCAATCTACATTCCTTCCCTCACCTCTGGTCATGAGCTCTGGGTAAAGACCGAAAGGACAAAATTGTGGATACAAGCGGTCGAAATGAGGTTCCTCCGCAGGGTGGCTGGGCGCTTCCTTAGAGATAGGGTGAGGAGCTTAGTCACACGGGAGGAGCTCGGAGTAGAGCCACTGCTCCTCCACATTGAGAGGGCATCTGTTCTGATGCCTCATGGACGAGCCTCTCGGGAGGAGTTCTGGGCATGTCCCACCGGAAGGAAGTCCCAGAGAAAGACCCAGGACATGCTGGGGGCACTGTGTCTCTGGGATGGCCTGGGAACACCTTGGGGTCACCCTGGTGGAGACTGAGGAAGTGTCCGGGGGGAAGAAAGTCTGGGAGTCCCTGCTTAGACTGCTGCCCCCGTGACCTGGCCCCAGAGAAGCAGAAGAAAATGGATGGATGGATCAACAGGATAGAAAATGTACTTCCTGAATAGCTTTAGAATGATACACCCATGGAGCACTATGGAACCAACCTGAACCACTGAGGGATTACACAAATATGAGACCAGATGGCACAGAAAGTACAATTAATTAAAGTTGAAAATCACTTTCTATTGTCTAAATAATCCACTTAGAGTCTATTCCTTAGTATCGAAATCAAGTTTGAAATGTTATTATGGTGTCAACACTAGTGCAAACTAAAACATATGTTTTGAACAAGCGTCGAGTGTGACTGTGACGCTGGAGAAGGTTTCACATGAACAGCAACACGGTGAGGAACACACAGACCAAGGCCACATGACACACTCCACATCATCAGGTCATGGCTTTGTGTACAACAAAGTCCGACATGAACCAGGTCTGGACCAGGTCTAGACCAGGTCTGGATCAGGTCTGAACCAGGTCTATACTAGGTCAAATCCAGGTCTGGACTGGGTCAAATCCAGGTCTGGAGACGGTGTGGGGATCAACGTCTCATCTGCTGGGGTCATGTGATGCGCTGGAGTTCATAGGTCCCACCTGTCGCCATGTCAGCCTCAGAGACAGACGCTAACCCCACAGAAGGAGGAAGCACTAACGCTGAGTCGCTAACAGAAGGCGCTGATCTGCTTCATTTCCCTGATGAGCTCTGTCCTCTCTGGGGTTGTGTTCTGTTCTTTTAGAGGCCATTTGAGACAAGGCCACTGTGGTGTTGATTCAAGATTATTATGACTTTAAACCAAACTGCGTACTTTCATTTTCCTTATGCCCACTCATTACACGCATGGTAACACAAAGCGTACTAATCTACAAGATGACTACCAATATAACTACCAATATGAGGGTGACCAGACCAGTTTTGAGCCCTGTGTCCCCAGTCCCAGCAGATTTATCCAAAAACTGTGATTTGTCCCAGTTTTATACAAGAAATGAGAGGTGTCCCTATTTTCGACCAATTTGATCCTGTCAACAGTAAAGAGAGACACATACTGTCATTTATTTAAGTAAAATACTGAAAAGCTGCTTAAAAACGACCAAAACACAAAGAAAATGTGACTATACTGGTACTAGACTGGGACTAAACCAGGTATTCGACTGGGACTAAATCAGGACAAGACTGGGTACTCAACTTGGACTAGACCAGGTACTAGATTGAGACTACGCCAGGAATAAACCAGGTACTAGATCACGTACTAGCCAGGACTAAACTAGGTACTAGACTAGAACCAAACCAGGACTAGATCAGGTACTAGCCCGGGAATAAACCAGGTACCAGACCCGAACTAAACCAGGACTAGACTGGGACTAGACTGGGTACTAGACCAGGACTATGCCAGGACTAGACCAGGACTATGCCAGGACTAGACCAGGACTATGCCAGGACTAGACCAGGACTGGACCGTGTCCTAGACGCTGACTAAACCAGGTACCAGACCCGGACTAAACCGGGTGGTAGACCAGGTACTTGACCGGGAC